GCTGCTTTGCTTTTGGTCGTTCAGCTCCTTATTAGATCATCAGGGGTTCTAGACAGGAAAAGTAACGCAGCTTCACAGAGTTAAAAAATGCAAAATAAAAGAATGCAACATATCTTTGCATCACTAAAACAAGTGTTCCAGACCATAAACAAATGTAATACACCTTAAGATAATATTCTACAACAGGAGACTGATGCTTGATGTTGGACAGATTGCCTGCTGGCCTATTAGCAAGCCTCTCGGTTCCCAAGGTTTTATTTTGTTTTTGTTTTTGTTTTGTTTTGTTTTTGTTTTTTCTTTTTTTTTCGAGACAGGGTTTCTCTGTGGTTTGGAACCTGTCCTGGAACTAGCTCTTGTAGACCAGGCTGGTCTCGAACTCACAGAGATCCTCCTGCCTCTGCCTTCCAAGTGCTGGGATTAAAGGTGTGCGCCATTTTGCATTGACCTTGGTCAAGTTCTGTATCTGGGAAAAAATCAGTATAGTATGTGTGTGTTCACATGACTGTGTATGCAACATGTGTGTTTAGTGTGCATGCACATGTATATGTATGCATGCATGTGAAAGCCAGAGGTAGATATTGGGCATCTTTCTCAGTTGTTCTCCACCAAATGAATTAATGAACTAGTTAATTAATTTTGCGACGGAATCTCCCAGTGAACCTGAAGCTTGCTGATTCAGCTACCCTGTCTGGAGAGGGAGCCCAAGGGATCCTCCTGTCTCTGTTTCACCAGTGCTGGGACTAAATGTGTGCTGCCACAGATTGGTCATTAGGGGTCAAACTCAGGTCACCAGGCTTGCATGGCACCCACTTTACCAACTAACTTAACTTCCCAGCTCATGAGATCATTGCACCTTGTAGATTAATTTTGGGAGTTCTACCTGAAAATTACCAATAAGTGGGTTTCTGACTTTAGGCAGATCACTCTCCTTCTCTGGGAAATAAAGAAGTAAGTGCAGGGGCTGGAGGTATGGCTTGATGGAAGTATGCTTGTCAGGCAAGTGTGAAGCCTCTCATTCAATCCCCAGAACCAAACCAAACCAAAAGAGAAAACAAGAAGTAAGTAAAATAATCTCTTAAATCACTTCTAATTCCTTGGTTCTGTGAGTCTGGGTTTTAGATAGATGATAAATCAATAAGCAATAATCAGATAAATAGATGCTAAACAGATAGTTCAATAGGTATATGATAGATAGTAGGTGGGTAGGCAAATGAATGATAGAAGATGAGCGGGTAGATATTGATTTTATATATGTATATACACACATATATACACATATATATACATATATATATTAGAAGATAGATAGAGTGTATGCACACACACGAACAAGATCCAGAAGGGTCTTGTCCAAGGAGGATGGTTCAGGCCCCAGGACTGGCTCTGTGCTTTCCCTGTCTCAGAGGAAAGGCTTGTCCTGTATCACATCACTCGCATTAATAAGTCAGAAGACACATGGAATGCCTATTGTGCACAAGCATTTCTAATTCTCTCAGTGTATTATTTCACTCAGTGATGGTCATCTGAGCGGTGGTACTGTTCTCGTTTTACAGTTGAGGGAGAGAAAATCGAGAAAGGGTCGACATCACTGTTACAGGGAGAAGAACCTGGATGTGAAGCCAGGTCTGCCTCACTACAGTAGTCTGGTTCCTTACTCTTGGTCTCTGGTAGAGGCCCAGAATAAAAGGTTGTCAGAGTCTAGACTATAGACCCAGTATGTCAAGCAGGCACTGGCCCAAATCCCACAGGAATGCTCTCAATTCTGACCATTTACACTTTCCCTCTAGGTGGTGGTTTACCTCCATCTGCCAGGAGTGGACCAGTACCGGTCCTGTTCTGTTATCTTTAAAGACTTTTTTAGAAGATTTGTTTATTTTTATTTTATGTGTATGAGTTTATCTGTGTGTATGTCTATGCACTAGGTGAGTCTCTGGTGCCCACAGAGGCCAGAAGAGGTCATCAGAGCCCCTGGAACTGGAGTTACGTGAGCCATCGTGTGGGTTCTGGGAACCCAACCCAGGTCCTCTGCAAAAGCATCAAGTGTTGGTAACTGCTGAGCCATCTCTTCTGCCTCGTTCCCTGCTGTGTTCATCCATGCTTCGTGCTCTAGAGAACTTGACTTTTCCTGCTCAGTGCCAAGGTTTCAGGGCAGCATAAAGCCAGATAAGCTTTGTCAACACATATAGCAAGACTTGGCAAGGCCAGACTTTCTTGGCCAATAGACATGCAATGAGATACTTTCAGATCTGGCCTCTCACTCACATGTTCAGATGTGTTCAGATGAAGGGTGCACAAAGGGTTTTGTTTTGTTTTTGTTCTTTTTTTGTGGGTTTTTTTTTTTTTTTGAGACAGGGTTTCTCTGTATAGCCCTGGGTGTCCTGGAACTCACTCTGTAGACCAGGCTGGCCTCACCTAGATCCTCCTGTCTCTGCCTCCTGAGTACTGGTACTAAAGGTATGGGCCACCATACCTGGTACTTCTCAGGGTTCTTTTTTTTTTAGATTTTATTTATTTATTATGTATATAGCATTTTGCCTCCATGTATGCCTGCAGGCCAGAAAGGGGCACCAAATCTCATTACAGATGGTTGTGAGCCACCATGTGGTTGCTGGGAATTGAACTCAGGTCTTCTGGAAGAACAGTCAATGCTCTTAACCACTGAGCCATCTCTCCAGCCCACTTCTCAGGGTTCTTGACCTGTGCAGTGAAAAAGACAACGCTGAAACAAAAGGGAGGCGTGGCTATGGGACCCCTCCCCTGAACAGCCAATTCTAGACTGCACAAAAGGGAGGCATGGTTAGGGGACCTCTCCCCTAAACAGCCAGTTCTAGACTGCACAAAAGGGAGGCGTGGTTAGGGGACCCCTCCCCTAAACAGCCAGTTCTAGACTGCATAAAAGGGAGGTGTGGTTAGGGGATCCCTCCCCTGAACAGCCGATTCTAGACTGCACAAGACATTTTTATATTTTTGGCAAGTGGGCAAAAAGCCACACAGGTCATAGGAAACTGCAGGAAGAAGTCTCCTGTGAGCAGTTTCCCAGGGGAAACTGCCAAGACCGCCTCCCGAACCTCCTACCCTCTCTACTAAGATCCAGATAAGTTCTGGCAAAGCCCTTTGCTCTGTAGCTGTGTGGGTGCCAGCGATGTTGCTAAGATGTTGTACTACAGCTTCATCAGAATTGGAGGTGTGTTTACATGCCTAAGAGGAAGAGGAGCTTGAGACAGGGTCTCCTTCTGCAGCAGGCTTTTCTGGTCTAGCACTCACGGTATAAACCAGGCCGGCCTCCATCTCAGGGCAGTCCTCCTGCCTAGTTTCCCAAGTGCTGAGCTACAGGTGCAAGCCACCACACCCTGATGCTAAACACACCCTCTACCACTGAGCTACATTCCTAGCCAACTGAGGGTTTTCTTGTTCCTCTTAACCAGGGTCTAGAAGAGAGAAAATAAATTGAAAACTAAAAACTCCGAGTTTAACTCTTCCTTACTAAGTCGCCCAGACAGGTCTTGAACTTACACTCCTGCTGCCTCGACTTCCTGAGCACTGGGATTGCAGCCTGTCTTACCAGGCCTGTCTTCTAATTCATTGAGGATGCAAACTGCACAAAAGTCGGGAACTTTGTCCTTTCCCCCCACTCTTTGTGGGCCCACATTTTAGAATAGTGTCAGCATATAGGAGAGAGTCCATGAGTGTGAAGCCAACACAAGCTTGCTCACAGTATTTCCATAATGAATTGGGTGTGTGATTGACGTCTTAACACCTGCTCTCAGGTCAGAAGCTTCCTAAGGCATTTGTAGAGAAAACCACTGTCCTTTCTTTCAGGGAACTCACTGTCAAAAACTCGAGTGGAGACTCATTTAACCTTACAATGTGCATGACAGACATGCTGCCTGTGGATCATTGGTGCCAGTACAGTAATCCCAGTGCCGCACAACTCCCACACACAATAGTAACATAGTAACGGAGAGACGGGGGAGGGGCTTAGCTTCTCCGCTGACCTGATCTCCTCCTCCTACTTTCCCAGCTAGCCTTATACTACTCGCCCCTCTTAGCTAATGTATAGCATAGATTAGGAAAGAAATTATGGGTCAAGGAATCGGCTTCCAACTATAACAGCCACCCTTGAGCCTTATTTCTCCATTTCTAATGTATCAGTGTCATAGACATTGTCCTCTTTCATTGCAACTAAGTGACATGCTGTTGTGCTTGTTTTACAGAGTGGACCCTGGCCTAACAAAGACTGGGTGGCCTACTGAAGATCTCTTACATTGAAGACAAATTTCTCTATCTAAAGTCAGGTTTCTTTCCATCATTACTGTGTAATGCTGCTATCGCCAAAGCCATGGCCTCTGTCATCTCAAAAAAGGCAGGAATTTTTGCCTTTTTGGCTTCCTGCTTTAATGCAAGGAGGTGGGGACAGAGACGGACCGAAAGAGAGCGCGCTATGTAAATGTTGGATGACTGCCTGAGGGAGCCGATGTTCTTCCAAAACCTGTGGGTCCTAGAGATTGAACTCGGGCTCCAGTCTTGGTGGCAAGGGCCTGTCTCTGCTGAACCATCTCACCGGCCCGTGAACAGGGAGTTTATCTATTTTAAGTAGGCATTGTAGACACATTGACGGTGTGGTGGAGTGAATACTTATTGATTCCTTTCAGAACTTTTAACAAATCTACTTGGCGCGCCTCCTCCGGCAGCTTGGCGGCGCTGTGGGGCACGGTCGTGCGCAGTGGCGAGAGACGTCCTTCTTGGTCCGGCCGCTAGCCTTTCCCTGTTGGAGGGCGGGGCTCCAGGAACCGGAAGTGCCGAGGCCTCTGCCGCCGTCTCGATCGCCGCTGCCTTTAAGTCTCTTCGTCCGCTGCTTGGGTGCCGCCGGTGCCGCCGCCGAGGAAGCTGCTGTGGCCCGTACGGGAGCGGAGGCGGCGCGGCATGAAGCGGCGTAGGCCCGCTCCATAGCGCGTCGGGACGGTCCGGGCGGGCCCGGGGGAAGGTGCAGTATCCGCCCGCTCTCCCTCCCCTGCGCCCGCGAGGCCGCGGTACTCCGGTCGGCCGCCCTCAGGCCACTCCCGTGGGGCAGAGCGGGTGGCTGGGCCCCGCTGGCCGGAAGAGGAAGCACAGACTCGGATGGCGAGGTCGCCAACGTTCGCTAGGCGCCCCTGAACGCTGGCTGCAGCCCGCTCGGACTCGCACGTCCGTTATCTTGATAGAGCCTGGCTCGGGTTGGGATGCCGGGGAAGGTCCGGGCTTACGGAGGAGGAAACGGAAGTCTGCAAAGGCGAAGGGGTTCGCCTGAGGTCCGCCAGTGGCGGATGGGATTCACCTTCGGACTACTCGCTGCTTTTCCCAAGCCGGTGTTCCTTCCTCTCTCCTGCTTCACTCTAGATTCATTCCTCCGCGCTCACTCTCTCGCTGCCATTCTGTTCCACCCATCCATTCGCAGTGTAGGGTTCTTGCCCTTCCTGTCCAGCTTGCTCATCCTCTTTAAGCCTTAGTGTTCAGACTGTCGTTCTTGCCACATTCCCTACCACACCTTTTCTCTTTCCTCATTCATAGCTTTCAAGTGAGGTGTGCAGAGTTTAGATGACTGATGAGCCCTTACCATAACAACTATAGGATGCCGCATCAGTGGACCACACCCCAAGAATCTCAAAGCCCTTTTTAACCCAACATATCATTCTCAGAGTGAGGGGCTTTGCGCTTTGGGAAGGTGTCTTGAATCTTAACCTGTTGCTGCTGTCCAGTTTTTTTTTTTTTTTTTTTTTGTCCTCCTTTGGCCACATAGCTTTTCTCACCTTTCCATCTCGTGTGTGGAATAGGGAGCTAGGAGTCTAAACTGGTAACAAATACGATGTGATCACATACACACATATTTTTTCTAAGCTAGATTATCAGCCGTCTTAGTGATTGTTTGTCCAGAAAAGCTACCCATCTCACTTATTCTCAGTAATATGTCAAGAAAAAGAAGGCAGAAATGGAATGCGCTAATAATGAATAGGGCATCCTTACCTTGTCAAGAATTCTAGCTGGGTATGGTGGTGTGCATACCTGTAACCCCAGTATTTGGGAGACTGAGGCAAGAAGGTCTTGAGTTCAAGGCCAGCTTTGGCTACAGAGTGACCCTGTCTGCAAACAGACAAATGAACACTATTTAGATGATTAAATTCAAGTTCCTTCTTTCAAAAAAAAGCGCATAATGCACATTTTTATTGTACTGAATTTATTTTCTCACCAACTCAATATGAAATGTAAAAGAAACAGGTGCATAGAAATAAATTATATCTTTGTGTGTGTGTGCTCGTGTGCGCTCGCGACTCTACACACACGTCTTGGGGATCGAGTGGAAGTTGGAGGATAACTTTTGAGAGTCAGTTCTCCCCAACTACCCTTTGTTGAGTCACTTTCAATTGCTGCATACTCCAGTCTAGCTGACCCTCCAACTTTGGCCCATTCCATCTATGCCTCCCTTGGTGCATTAGGGATGCTGGGTTTACAGATATGCCAACACTTTCTTGGCTTTAAGGGATCCTTAGGCTTCTGCTGCAAGTGCTTTTTACTCTTTAAATCAGTTTCCTGGCCTTAGAAATAAATTGCATCTGCCACTCTCAAGGTGTTACAACTGGGACCTCACATCTATTTTATTTTCAATTGTGTATGTGTGAGGGTATGTACCTGTGAGGACAGGTTCTGTAGAGACCACAAGTGTTGGAGTCTCCCTTAGAACTTGTCTTAGCAGTGGGTCTGAGCAGCCGGAAGTGGATGCAGGGAACCATACTTGGAGTCTCTGCAATAACATTACTTGCTGTTAACCCCTGAGTCATCTCTAGTCCACTTTTGCAATTTTTTCAAGTCCTTCTAAAATTTTCCCTTTAATGTATCTGGGTGTCAAGATTTACATAATTGTTAGGACTTAACCCCTTAATTTGAGCCACACATTTATGGAAAAAGTAATTTTAGGACTGGGCTTATTAGCAAAGGTCTGTAATTTCAGCACTCAGGAGGCTGAAGCAGGAAGACTGAGAATCCAAACCTGCCTGGGATTTGCAAAACCTATCCAAAAAGAAAAAGAGAAAAAGTGCGCGCTCTCTCTCTCTCTCTCTCTCTCTCTCTCTCTCTCTCTCTCTCTCTCTCTCTTTCTCTCTCTCCTCTTTCTACCTATCCACACACAAACACAGTTTTGATGATCCAAAATAATTCAGGCATTACACATTACACTAAAAGGAAGTCTATCAGTTAATATTTTTGGGGTTTTTAGGCTTATTTTTTGGCCATTTATGGTCCATTTTAATGACCAACAATCTCTTATCTGGTAAACAGGATTGGATGGTGAGAAAAGGAAAGATTCCTGTGAGAAGAGATCAGGATGAACGGAGAGCTCTGTGCTTAAAGAGCCAGGTGAAAATGATCTCTTTGAAAGTAGAGATCTGAGCAGATGAAAATACAATCAGGTAGGCACCAGGGAAGGTCCACAGGTGAAGAGGTTGGTGGAACAGTGAAATGTATGCACTGAGCTGGGAATGAGTAGGACCCTGTTTGAGAATGTATTTGTATATAGAATGTCAGGGAATTATGGAAATTAGTTACACAATTGTGTAAATTGCACACTATCTGTTGTAGAAAAGGCAGAATAAATATTTAGTGTGAACAGAGTGGCAGAATGTCATTTGAACCATACAGTGTGTATATGTCTGCAAACAAATAGCACAGTCCATTCAGAAAGTCTCAGTTTTTAAATAGAAACTGATGGGAGTTTTTACGAAGAAGGATTCTAAAGTTATAATAACTCCAGCTGTGCAGTAAGGCTCTGGAAGTCTGTTCTGAGCGGCTCTCTTCTGTTCCCCAGCCTTGTACTTGAAAGGGATGGAGTGGAGATGGGATTTCACACGTGAGAGAACAGAGTCAGGTTAGTATAGAGTCTTCTAATTTTAGTCCCTTGCTCCATCAGAAAACTAGGTCCTTTGACACACTTGATTGAAAATAGGCCTCTCCTAGCTTTCAGGTGGGCCAGCAGCCACCACTTGCACATACTGCCACTTGATACTCTGAGTCCCAGCTATCTAAAAGCTCAGTTCTCTGCTGCATTTTAGTTAGTGGAAGCTTGAATGCCAATGATGGCAGTGATACAACTCTACCTGATGCACCAGTATTTGGACTACTCTAGTTTGTCAGTGTCACGTTAGAAGTAACAGTATCGTGCACTGTAACAAGGAAAATGATACCCTGTTCCCTGTGCACAGTTCAGCACTTTCGCATACCAGTAAAGCAAATTAGGTGGACTGACTCACAGCCCACACCTTCCAGTAATTTGTTAGATTGCAGATAACTGAGCATAAATTAATGTTAACCTGCAAAGCTGAGCTTTAAAAAAAAGACAACATCTTAAATACATAGCCATGTATTGATTATTGGAGAAGTAGTTAATGATTACGTGAAACGTGGTTACATAAGTAGTTTGTTTTCTTTTGTGGAACTGGAATTGAAGCCATCACTAAGCTACATCTCTACATGGTTCTATCATAGCTTTTTGTTGTGGTTATTTTTCTCTAATACTTTGCTCATGTTAGTTGAAATATCAGGAAAAAAATCAAGGGAGAAAGTATATCTTCTGGGTTTGTACAGTAAGTACAATAAGTTCTCAAAGCTATTAATTATGGTGTTAAAGTGGTAAATTGAGTTCAGACTTATAAAATGCTGATATGAACACCATATGCTTTCTTCACTAACTACTTTAACTAAAGCCATTTAAAGATAGTATATTTTTATTTTTTTGAACAGTATAGAAGTTACATAATGAGAAAAACTAGTCTTGTAGTTATCAGTAAAACACTGAGTACCACTGGTACTTGATAGTGTCTAGAGAAGAGCAGGAGGTTGTGTTTAGTTGTTTGGAGCCCTTCTCTGCAAGAGAAAACAATGTATTCTTTTAGGTTACTGCCCTAGTTATAAATTCAATGTTTGTAACAATGTTGTTACTATTCTAATTTATTACATTTTAGAAACAGTGATCAGCATTTGATAGAAGTGTTACTTTTTAAAATGCAAAAATACTTACCTCCCTTGGCACATAGCTTCAGTATTGACATGCTTTGAGGTGGAATGTAGCAGCCAACTTGGCACATGGCCTGCTTCCTTCCAGTGTGGGAAAGGAAAAGGAATTTTGGCAAGAGATACCTCAAAGGAGAGCCTTTTATAAAAGTTCCCGGAGGGATTTATAGTCACTATGAAATTGACATGACCTGAATTTTTTTTTTTTAAAAAAAATCTTTTTGGAACTGAACACAGGTGGGGGTGGAGGACACCACTATTGCTTTTCTTATTGGGTTTCATTGCAGCTGTGTTGTAAGGCCTGTCATTGGTTGGTTGGTTTGTTTATTTATTTGGTTTTTTGGCCCTATCATTGTGATATGATAATGTATGAACAGCTTCTTGTGCCTTGTTTATCCAGGAAAATGCAACATGGCAGCAGCAATGGAAACAGAACAGCTGGGTGTTGAGATATTTGAAACTGCAGAGTGTGAGGAGGGAACTATTGAATCACAGGATCGACCTAAACTGGAGCCATTTTATGTCGAACGATATTCTTGGAGTCAGCTAAAAAAGTTGCTTGCTGATACCAGAAAATATCATGGCTACATGATGGCTAAGGCCCCACACGATTTTATGTTTGTAAAGAGGACGGATCCAGACAGCCCTCACTCAGACAGGGTCTATTATCTTGGTGAGTGTGAAATTGCACTTTGGGAGAGGAGAAGTTTTCTTTTTCTTTCTTCCTTTTTTTTTTTTTTTTTCTTTTCAAAACTACTTTTGATACTTTGGGGTGTGCCCCCTGAGGGGAAGGAAGCACAAAAGGAACCCGCTGTAGACTCAAGGCAAAGGGAATGCCATCGGTGCCTGTAAGCACTACAGGAAGAAACTCGAGCATGGTGGGACTGGCTCCAGGCACACAGGCTCCTGCTTCAGTCTCTTCTTGTGCGTTGACATAACAGATGTGCACTACCACATCCAGTAGGAACCCATTGGGGGGGTGGCTGAGACAGGGTTTCTCCGTAGCTTTGGAGCCTGTCCTGGCACTAGCTCTTGTAGACCAGGCTGGCCCCGAACTCACAGAGATCCACCTGCCTCTGCCTCCTGAGTGCTGGGATTAAAAATAAGAAATTTTCTAATCTAAAGTCATACTGAAATCTCATCCTGTAATTTACTGACACTAACAAAATAAGATAATGAATTATCTTAATTCTTATATTGTTTTATATGCTTTAATAAGTTTTGTCTTTAGCCAGGTGGTGGCGGTGCACACCTTTAATCCCAGCACTCAGAAGGCAGAGGCAGGAGGATCTCTGTGAGTTCGAGGCCAACCTGGTCTTCAAGAGCTAGTTCCAGGACAGGCTCCAAAGTTATAGAGAAACCCTGTCTAGAAAAAAATCAAAACAGAAAAAAAAAAGGTTTTGTCTTTGGATGAACTAAGATCTCACTATCAAGGCTGGAGAGAGGACTCGGTTATCTGAGTTAGGTAATGTTAGGAGTACATCCTGCTCTTCTGTAGAACCCAGGTTCAGGTCATAGTACCCACATCATTAGGTGTCTCATGCCCTCCTGTAACTCAGCTCCAGGATCTCACTGAGCTCCTACACACATACATATTTATGTATACGTGCATGCTTATACACATACAAATAAAAGTCATAAAAGAAAGCTTTAATATCAGGGCATTTTTCTCTGACATCTGGGGAGTTGGTTTTTTTTTTTTAAATATTTATTTATTATGTATACAATATTCTGTCTGTGTGTATGCCTGCAGGCCAGAAGAGGGCACCAGACCCCATTACAGATGGTTGTGAGCTACCATGTGGTTGCTGGGAATTGAACTCAGGACTTTTGGAAGAGCAGGCAATGCTCTTAACCTCTGAGCCATCTCTCCAGCCCTGGGGAATTTTTTTTATGTTTACTTCTTGCTTGGTTTTCCAAGATTGTCCATCTGCCCAGACTGACCTCTAACTCACAATCCTGCCAATTGTAGACATGTGCTCTGATACCATAGAATCTTTGGGGAGCTTGTTGTTCTTTTCCTTACTTAGTTTTTTTGAGACAAGGTTTCAGTTAGCCCAGGCTGGCCTCAAACTCCAGATTCTCCTGTCTCTATCTCCTGAACTCTGAGATTACAGGTGTTTAGCTACCATGCCCAGCTTGAAACAATTTTTGTTTTTTAAATAATTTATTTTTATTTTATGTGCATTAGTATTTTGCCTGCATGTTTATGTCTGTGTGAGGGTGTCAGATCTTGGAGTTACAGACAGTTGTTAGCTGCCATATGGGTTCTGGGAATTGAACCCAAGTCCTCTGGAAGAGCAGTCAGTGCTTTGAAATGCTAAGTTTCTCTTATAGCTATGAAACATTATTTTTATTGAAAAAAATTTCTAAGGCATAAGGCATGTGCACATCCTACTTAATAACATCATTTTTGTTCCTGTGGAATGGAAAATGTTGAAATATGTAGAAGACATTATGTATTTATGACTATTGTTGTAATAAGGACAGTATTACAAAATAGTAATTTTTTTTTTTAGTAATATGGTTTTTTTTTTCCCCTTATAGCCATGTCTGGTGAGAACAGAGAAAATACACTATTTTATTCTGAAATTCCTAAAACCATCAACAGAGCAGCAGTCTTAATGCTTTCTTGGAAGCCTCTTTTGGACCTTTTTCAGGTTGGAACAAATATTCTTGTTTCTGTGATTTGGTATATATTTTCTCATTTATTTCAGGACAAAAATTCATCTAGGGCTTTATATTTTAAGTAGATATGAATTAAAAGGAACTAAAATATTTTTTATTGTTACATGTATAACCTTAAAATCAACCAATTCCCTATATCTAAAGCCATAGGACATTACAATTCAAGTTTTTGGTGTTTTGTTTCATTTATTTTAAATATTTTAGATTTCTTTAAGTTTGCATGGATGAATGTTTGCCTGCATGTCTGTGCACCACGTACATGACTGGTGGCAGAAGAGGGCATTGGACCCCTTGGAACTGGAGTTACAGATCGTTGTGAGTCATCTATGTGGGTGCTGGGAACCAAACTCAGGTCCCTTGAAGAACAACAAATATTCTTAAACACTGAGCCATCTCTCCAGCCCTATTTTGTTTGTATATTTGAGACAAGTTTTCACTTTGTATTTCTGACTGGCCTTGAAGCTCACTATGTAAACCAGGCTGGCCTTGAACTTCTGGCAGTCCTCTTGCCTCTGTCTTCTGAAACTTGGTACATTCCTGTAATCTCAGTACTTGGGAAATGTTTAGAGGTAGAAAAGCCAGAAGATGAGAAGTTTGAGGTTAGCCAGAACCCCACCACACATGCTCACAACAGTCTATTCTCTTGACTTGCCTAGAGTATGCTCAGCTGCTACGTTCAGTCCCTACCTAGAGCTGGGTTAGATCCCCGCTCTACAACTAACTGTATGCAAAACTACCTAATTATGACTAGATTATAGAGGGCCTTGACTATTAAGATGATGGATTTTATTCTTGTTTTCTAATGTCTGCAATATTGATTAAATGGGTCTTTACAAAATTTCAGGAGAGTTTCTGAAATTAATCTACTTATTGGCAACTTCTGAGTCACTCAGGGCACAGACTAAGCCCTGGAGAGATGCTAGAGTTTCAGTGAGTTGCAAAGGCCAGTTCTTGGGAGACTGGAGTGGGTGACTTTCCTTTTGTCTTAGGCGACACTAGACTATGGGATGTATTCTCGAGAGGAAGAGCTACTCAGAGAAAGAAAGCGCATCGGAACCGTGGGAATAGCAGCTTACGATTATCACCCAGGAAGCGGAACATTCCTGTTTCAAGCTGGTAGTGGAATTTACCATATCAAAGATGGAGGCCCACATGGATTTACAGTAAGTGGCAGTTATTGTTAAATGTTTTGGGGTCCTAGAAGAGAATTTGTACCCAAATCAGAAAGGAAATGAATGAACAAACCAAAAGAGTCAGTTTACCCACCAGCTAAGAAATTAATATTAGGGGACTGGAGAGATGGCTCGGAGGTTGGGAGCATTGCCTGCTCTTCCGAAGGTCCTGAGTTCGGTTCCCAGCAGCCACATGGTGGCTCACAGCCATCTTTAGTGGCGTCTGGTGCCCTCTTCTGGCCTGCAGGCATACACACAGACAGAATATTGTATACATAATAAATAAATAAATAAATGTTTT